AGGTACTGCCTGAGTACTTCTGCATTCTCTGGTGACAGCAGACCGGAGGCGTGGCTCTGACACCGGCTGCTTGCTGATGCGCGGCCATTTTTTGTTGCATTGGCATCTTGTACTGATGCTATGAGATCTGGTGACTGCGCCGTGTGAACAGGCATCCAGTCCATCCAGGCTGCCTTCAATCTCGTCAATAGAACTCCAAATTTTGATGTGAATACGAGGAACTCGGTGTTCTGCCTTCTGCGATCGAAGAAACGGAGAAGTCTGTGTAAGTACAGGTTCGTCGAGCCCTTCAGGAAGAACTTCTTCAGCGTGTTCTTGAAATAGTTGACTCCTTCTTCAGGACCTTGCAAAAGCGTCTCCGATGAGTCTGCTCTTGAGGAGTGGTCCTCTCTTGGGCGCCGTGAAGGTCACCCAATCATCTACGAGCTCTTCACACATCGATAAATTGAGCGTCTCTTCAGTGAAGCCGGATGACCGGCCAACACTTGAGTAGGCCTCCATGAAGCCTTCCCCATCGGATGCGGAAAACCTGCTCCGCTACCACAATTGAGGTCCACTGCCAGGGGTATCTTATCCGCGATTGGAACCGACACCTTGTGGTAGTAGAGGATCTTTATTTGGTAGGTCCCTGGATCTATGCCGGAGAGCCCAAGTGTCAATACTGATGGGTTGATACTGCGTTAGCCCTAGTTGATTGTGTGCTGCGGTTTCTGCTGAAAGTGGTCCGCTAGCACCTTTGTATCACGGATGCAATGGCTCAGTGAGCTATGTACATCTGATGTGTGACATGAAAGGCCTTGAGCCAAAATGGTAGTGCATGGAGATCAATGGGTCCGAAACACAAACGCAGGCGGAAGGGGCGAAGAGGATCTTAGGAGCAAAGATCTTAGGAGGAAATGCTAGGAGGGTGAGGGGGGGCAAGGGTGGAAAGACCTTAGGGGTGGAAAAGGGGGGGAAAAGATCTTAGGGGGTGAAAGGGAGAAACAATGTTATGAGGGGGAAAGGGAGGGAAAGACCTTGGGCAGGGAAACGAACTTCGTGAAAAGATATTATAAGGGGGAAAGGGGGGGCAAGATCTTAGAGGGGAAGCGGGGAAAGGGGGGCAAAGATCTTAGAGGGAGGTGGGGGGGGGGAAATGGGGGAACAGATCTTAGGGGGGGAGGGGGGAGAACATCTTAGAGGGCAAAGGTGGGAAAAGATCAGGGAGGGAGATCTCAGGGGAAAACTTCCAATGGGACAATTGCAGAGGGACGCGCAGGCCTGAAATGTTGGCGGCCCAAGCCGTGGCGCTTAAATATACATACTATCTGACCACCGTGCAAAGATCAAGAAGCACTATCAAGTTGGGCTGTGTTACGAGGCTCCTTTGTATAGGGCTTTCTGAAGTTCCACTGGGTCAAGCGTTGAATCTACCAGAAGGATTTCAGGATTCCGGGACGCTTGTGGGCCCCATCCTCCGCCGCGACAGAAGTGCAACAAGATGAGAGTCGACACTTCTCACGCGCTGCTGGCATGGCGTTGCCTAGAGGCCCCAACTCGCAAGGCGCCAAAGATCTCAGGTGATGTTGCTCATCCAGCCCCCCGCGCGTGGCCTCATCAGCGTCTTCAGGGCCTCCTGGCAGATGCTTCGCGGCGCAGAACATGTGCAGAGCAACGCTGCCAAAGGTTGATTCACATCTCCGAGGAAGATCTGAGCATAAGAAAAGTGGCAGGTAGAAATCGCGCGTCTCGATATGCGTCCCAATCAGTGGTTGATGAGAAACTGTCCACACATCAACCCCTCAACGGGTTGCATGCATTTGTTGTTCTTTGTCAGCGTTCATTGATTTCAACTATTCAGGGCACTGTCAAGCAAACACAAGTGCCCCTGTAATCCAGCACTATTTGCGCGTATGTACCCGAAGCGTCCGTTATTGATCCTGATCAAGCTCAGCTTCAACATGACAGACCAGTAAGGCAATTGTTAACTTTCGGTATTAGGGTTGCTTATTGGGGGGGGTCCTGCCAAAAGCGGCTCAGGTCATTTAAGTTGAGAACCTGCCGTGAGGCTGTCGGGACACTTATATTTATTAATAGACAACTGCAAATGGGCACAAATGCACATATATGTGTATATATGTATATATGTGTGTGGGGTCTGTCAGTTTACCCGCATTGTGTTTTGCCCTTGCGCGGGACTTTGTTTGCGCGTATGTCAAGACACGCCGATCAAGAGCTAACAACTATGGAACCACATTTTGCTTCGCTGACCGACTTTGTGTCCCGACAGTCCGTATACAAAACTGTTTTTGTAAACGGTCTGGCTGTGGGTAAGGTAGGAGGTCCGGGAATGCTGGAACACAACCCCGCCCCCCCCCCGCCCGAAAGAAAGGAATTGTGCTTGTGCGGGAGCGCGGGGGGGGGGGTCGGAAATCCTTAAATACACCCCCACTGAACCAAAGGAATTGTGGGGAGCGAAAATCCTTAAGTACAACCCTCTTCTCATTCCCGCGCATCCCAGAATTCAGAGATGGGGCAGGGAAAAACCTTAAGTACACGCCCCCCCCAGTGCTTAAGTACAATCCAAATTCCTTAAATGCAGGGGGGAGGCTTGTATTTAAGGCCGGCCTCTTGTTTTCAGCCATGGGTTTCACAAAAATCTGCATTTTTTGTGCAAAACATGCCTCAACATTATTGATTTTGAGGTATGGATTAAACTAAAAACCGCTGATTTGTCATAATTTGTAGGAAACCCATGCCTTAATGCAGGCGGTCAGCCTTAAATACAACCCTCCCCCCTGCATTTAGGGAATTTGGGTTGTACTTAAGCGCTGGGGGCGCGTACTTAAGGTGTCCCCTTCCCCGTCTCTGAATTTTGGGTGGCGGGAATTGGGGGGTGTAAATTCGGGGGGGGGGGGGGGTTGTGTTAAGGCCGCACATCCAGTTTTTTTCGGGGCGCGCAATTCCATTTTTTTCGGCAGGGGGGGTGGGTTGTTAAGGATTCCTGGCCCCCCTCACCTCCCACACAATTCTTTAAATTCGGGGGGGGGGGGGGTAGTACTTCAGGATTCCGGGACCTCCTCCCCTCCCCACAGCCCGGCTGTTTACAAAAAAGTTTTGTATACGGCCGGCACCGGGGGGGGGGGGGGGGGTCGGGACTGTTGCGACACAAAGGCGGTAAGCCAAAAACTGTGGTTTCATAGTTTACTGCCCTCGATCGGCGTGTCTTGACATTTGCGCAAACAATAGTCCCGCGCAAGGACAGACAACAATGCGCGTAAGCTGTTGGTGTGACAACCCCTTCAACAGATCCCAAGGTCGGTGGGCGATATGTGCCTCTTTGCACGTCAGCGATCCTGCCTAATTTGAGGCACTTGCGGAGATGTTGGGTTCATTTCGTCATCGCAAGCGGATCACTGTACTTGCGCTGGGGGCCGCCCTTAGGACAACCCCCCCTTCCTTAAATACAACCCTGACACTTAATACTGAAAGTTGACAAAGGCAATGACAGGTAGAGTCACAAGTAACATGTTCGCCAAACACACCATCTTGAATACAACGCGGTCAAACTTCATCGAAACATTTTTTTTACGTTTGATCAAGGTCTGGTTAAATGCAATCAACCAACATGCAATCCGCAGCTATGGACTTTGAAGCGTAGAAGCAAATTCAAATCTGTATGCAAGAGAGTAAAACAATCAATCAGCATCAATAAACTCAAAGGAACAACTCCATAATTCATTTCGACCATGGTTGGTGGTGAAAACAAGAATGGCCAAACACAACTCAATAGTCTCCTCTTGTCACCCGACGCCAAGGTCTGAAGGCGTTTGACCGGCAGTGTTGATTCCCCTTGAACGGACATGATTCAAGCTTCCTTGGGCCCTTCCTCATATTATGGACGGTCAGCAGGGTTAGCCCCGCGGCATGTTGCTTGCGCGAGTAAGAAACTTCCCCGAAAAGAAAAAAGAGAGAGAAACAAACAACAATTAATCCCGGACCAAACTTCAGCCCGTGTGGCGCGGTGCACATTTTCAATCATGATGACCCCCTCCCCGCTACCATCAAATTGCGGAAAAGCAGCCGAGCTGTGGAATTGCCAGGCCGCGCAATAAAATGCAAAGAACCTGAAAGAAGTGTAGTGAACCAGGAGGACCAGGTCAGCACACTAACACGCGCTGCAAGACTGAAATGGCTCTCCTCAGTCCCCATGTTCATGTGCTGCTTCGAATCCGCCATCATGACCTTGCCAGTGGTGATCATGTCGGCAAGCCAAGTAGAAAACACAAATGATGTGACTACATTATTGCGATGAAACTTCACTCGAGCCACGCTCTCGCTTCACTGGCTACCACAACCTCGTTGCGTGCGACACATGTTCAAGCCCCGCAGCTTCAAAGTGCGTGTCTTTGGGAAGCCCAAGGCCCAAATGGCCCTACCGTTCTCCGAATACTGCACCCAAATCCCGGCAAATCAGAGAAACGCGTTGATCAAAATCAGCCCTATGACCGGCTGTCATGCGAGGAACGCCAAGGAGGTTGGCCAATTGGCTTGCATTCTCCTCGTTCTTGCACAGCCTGGGATGCCTACAGTCGCTCTAGGCAACCAAGAATACTCCAGGCAAGCAGCCCTTTGGGGCCCCGGCGCTAACAAATGAACACTTGACAATCTGAGCCACAGGATTCAGTGCTGCGGGATGGGTGCCACAACTTAAGCAAAAAACAACCTGCGACCCACGCCACATAACTCATACGCAAGTATGGGGCCGGCAGCAAGTGCCTCCTAACTCTTAGTGGCAATCTCACGGTTCATCTGTGCAACAAAAAACGTGAGGCGTGCTGCACTCTCCCGCGATGAAAAAAATGCGCCCACAAAGCAAGAACATCCTCATAGTATGGGACAGGCCTGAATTGCAGGCTCCCGACTTCGGACACATTCCAGAAGCCAACTGGCAATGCAAATCAAAGCCCGCTGCCATAGCGCGGTGACCACACCTTTTGCGCTGAAGAGCCTCTCCTCTCTCACACCCTTGTGCGCTGCTGCTTCATCTTCCGAAGCGCCGACGCCTAAGTGTCAGCTTGTGCGAAGTCTACGCTGCAGGTCGCTCCGCTCCCAAGTCACTACCTTTCCAGCTTGGGGCCATCCAATGAGCTTGTGCCAAAGTCTAACAAGGCTAGCGTCACGTCAATGCACGGGTAGCTAGCCCCCAGCCATTCCCCCGATTGAAGGTACCCGCCTGCAGCCCCCAAGCCAAACAACCTGCCAGAAAAGGGGCTTCCTTGTTGCAAACCCACCAATATTAAGCCACTAATCAAACCCCTCGTGCTCCACAGAAACGAACACGGTCTACTAAAAATGATTCAACAGTGACCCCCCTTGGACCTTCAACCAAAAACTGCTGTTGCCCAGAAGGGGCCCAAAAGGCAAGAAACCAAGAGGTTCTCCAGGTTCCCATTTCCAGTTAAATTAGCTGGGCAAGGGCCAGACTGGAAAGGACAAGGGCCGAAGGGGCTATTAATCAGGGGTCCTCCAAAATATCTCAGTTTTGGGCGCTTTTGCAAACCTTTTCGACCTTGAAGTGGGGGGGGCGCATTGAACAGTCTCCAGCAGGAAGCATCTCGAACACAAACACGCAACAAAACTTGATCTAGCACTGACTATGCAGATTCACACGGGCTGACGTCGCAGCGATTGATCTTGGCTTCACTCCACATGGAGTACGTCGAAAGATTTTGAATGATCCTACAACGTGACAGTGTTGTCAAACATGGACAAATATCTGCGACCGTTGCATCACACTTCCTTCATTATGTAGCGGTAGGGGATCCTTGGAACTATTTATCGTGACGCAAACCTGGTCGTCCCAGTGATTCTAAATAAGTAGCCGAATCAAGCAACAACCCTAGACAAAGGATATCACTGGTCGTGAGCAAATCCCACGAGAACGTGCGTGCCAGATTGCTTGCGCCGGCCTGATCAACTTCCTCGGCCCGGGAAGTGGCTTCCGCATGCTTCTTCAGCAGGTCCTGCACGGAAACAAAGCAGAAACGTTCAAGCGAACTCATGAGCATGTCAAATGTGGACGGCAAGCTTAGATCTCTGGCAGTCAATGACTACCGCATCATCGACTGTATTCAACGAATTTGCAGAGAGACATCCTTTGCGCACAAAAACAATCAAGCCGGCAAAGGCTCACATGGCGCAGGTAATGGGTTGAAGCTTGCCTGAACCTCGGAAAAAACTTGGTTGCGCTAACCATGTCGAGCCTGTTAGGTTCCCCAACAGGCCCTGTCAAAAAGACATATTAATTTGGGGTTTAGCTGTCAGGGCCAGGATAAACTGGAATGCCACTTTCCAAGACTAGCTGACCACTGGCAGGCAGCCGCGAGTGCCCGCGCGTCAGTGACACAAGTGGGCAGGGCATACGCATGAGGGTTTGTTTGTTGACACATCTCATTCTAAGCCGCTGATCCGAGCAAAAAGGGCTGGTTAGTCGGACCAAATGGTTCTACCAATGGCTGCGACAGCCAACAGGCTCTCTAACCTCGCCCTCAACACAGGGTTTCAACATGATCCGAGTTGTGTTGATGCGTCCTTGCAACAAATCAGTGCTGAACAATATGAACGTGCTCCGACTTGGGCTAGGCCTGCGGTCTCCTGAGTAGGCGCTTTACGAAAAAGTACAAAATAAATAAAGAATGCGGGACATCAGCTCTGGACAATTCCAAGAATCAGAAGAAAACGTTGCGCACTCCAAGTCCAGGAGTTTGGAGAGCCTGGGGTAAGCATTGCAGGCAGCGCTGGTCTTAGACTAAACAGGTGGCAGAAGCATCAAAGCCTCAAATCCCCCTCGTTGGCCCTCCTTCATGAACTGCTCCACGAGGCTGTTGAATCCCTGACGAACCCAAGTACTGACACGGCACGTGTGTCACAAAGGTCTTCGTGCAAGCTCAAGCTGCATATGCCGTTTGAGCGAAGGTCTTGTTCGAACCTAGGTCGTAAGGAACTCTTTACGCCAAGGTGCCAAGGTGCTTAATTGCGCAATATAAGTTGCTTAAGCCCTTACACTTGTCAATTCCCTTGCACAAACCTTACACGCGGCTCGTGCGAATGAAATGTCTTACGCAACCCTTACGCAAACTTTTCCACAAACACACACACACACACACACCTGTCGGAGGCTGTTCAGCGCTATGAGGACCAGACAAGGTTCCCAGCCCAAAACAAATCAGAAGCAAGGGGCTTTGAGCCCAGAACCCTTCCCAAACCCCAGCCAATACCGCGCACCACCGGTTGCGCCACACAGCTGTGCACTGCCAGACTTCCGCGCCAAACCAAGCCCAAAAAGAAACCAAAAAAAGGCGCGCGCCAACCAGCTTTGTGGCTTTTGCACTTGCCAGCCAATCAGCCTCGACAAAAACATTAAACGCGCCCACTAATTCATTTTGAGGGCGCTTGAGCCCCTCGCGCTTCCAGCCAGCTCAGGTTTTGCTATTGTTTCGCTAGTTCCAGATGGCCTTT